AATATATTAGGTTGAACCAGATGAAATTGTAATTTTGGTAGGTTACAAACAATCAACTAGCAGCAATTTCATGTGGTCCAACTAACAGCAGACCAGATCCATTAGGGGTGGTGGGCTTAATTAAGTCCAGTGCTCTTTTGCAAGCCTTGGTGGTAGGCGTTGCCAGGGGAGCGCTCATGCATGGCAGATTTTTCTGGAAACAAGCTCTTCGGGGTAACTACTTGTGTCAGGGGCCTTATTCCTCTTGCTGTCCCTTTATCCTCCAATGAGGGCCTAATATCAGGGATGGGCAAGGGAGGGACTTCAGGTTGAATTCTTTGTTATGTGTGACAGAGTATGTGTTCTGAAGCCAACAAGGAACAATTTTGAGGAACACTTTTATTTATTTGTTTATTATTTTTTAATCTTCACCCGAGGGTATTTTTCCATTGATTTTTAGAGATAGTGGAAGAGAGAGGGAAAGACAGAAAAATATTGATGTGAGAGAAACACACTGACTGGTTGCCTCCTGCATGAGCACTGACCAGGACCTGGGCCAGGGAGGAGCCTACAACCGAGATATGAGCCCTTGGCGGGAATCGAATCTGGGACCCTTTGGTCCCCAGGCCAACACAACGCTCTATCCACTGAACCAAACTGGCTAAGGCCACTTCTATTTATTTATTTAATCTCTATATATATTTTTTATTGATTTCAGAGAGGAAGGAAGAGGAGAGAGATAGAAACATCAATCATTGATTGGCTGCCTCCTGCATGTCCCCTTCTGGGGATCGAGCCCTCAACCTGGGCATATGTCCTGACCAGGAATAGAACCATGACCTCCCAGTTCATAGCTCCGTGCTCAACCTGAACCACACCATCCGGGCTGAGGAACATTTTTAGATAGTCCATGGTTTGTACATTCACCTGTTAATGTGGAAAATTAAGAACTAATGGAGACATTTCACATTTTACAAATATCATTCAAACGTTTGTGTGATATAGGCTGTATGCCCAACACCATTCCGACTTGCAAGGATTTTCAATGGGCTATAATTGTATGTATACTTATGTGACTGCTCCTAGCTACCATCTTACCATACAGTAAATTCTGTAATGGTAGGGCTTATGTTTGATTTACTAACCCTTAACTCCTATCATAGGGCCTGGCATACAGTAGGTGCTTTACATTAATGATGAGTGACTGAATACATAAATAAATGAAGGGGTTAAACAAATAATGGAAATACTAGGAAGGAATTAAATATCATGTCAAATGAAAGGTCTCTGGGCCTTTAAAGGTCAGAAAGCAGGCTGCTTGTAGAAGTCAGCAGAGGCTCCCTGGCGAGGTGACCTGAAAGTAGTTGCTCTCCAGTTGGATAAGGTTGGTGAACAGCTCAGGCAGTAGCACAGTCGGCCTCACAGCTGTGAGAGAGGAAGCCACAAGTGAAAAGAAGCCACAAATGCAAAGTTGCTCCTCATTTCCTGGCTAGCGCTTTGGCCAGCAAGAGCTGCATTCCTTTGAGCTGAGCATGTGTGGAATTTCCAGCCTAGGTAGCAGAATGGAACTTGGAACAAACAGATCAGCAAAAAGAACCCAGGGACCATGGGGCTGGGCCCAGCTGCCCTTGGCCAGCTTTTGAGCTCACAGAATATTGGAGCTCAGTGGGCCTCGTCCAGGGTGATAAATGATGTCCTTTGGATTGTACCACTTCAGAAGACCCAGAAATTTCCAGGTTCAGACAGCATTAGGATCCTTGGATGCACTGAAATACCTGGGAATGGTCTGAATCCTCGCCATCATTCAACTTTCCATCTAGCAAGGACAAGTAAAGGTCTGTTTTGCTTTAAAGATGGGGAAAGTCCAAACATTAGAAGCAGAGGGAAAGATACCTTCATCAAAAGAGCTGGAAGGTGTTTCGATGGCAGGATAATGAGGAGGGGGCTGGTGATGGCAAGATTCAGCACTTTGAGTAACTGTTCTGGAGGTGGGTGGCTGGGGATATTTAAGAACAACTATATAAAAACATTGCCCGGGTAACATTTCAGGGCAGGGGATTCAAAGAGGAAGGTCCAGCTTCATGGAGAGAAACTAATTATAGACAATGACACAATCACAAAGACACGGGTCTCTCTACTCGCCTGACCTGAAGTTCTTACACCTGATGAAGCTCTGGGAGCCTGCCATCAATCACACTGAGAAACGTAAGGGGGAACTTTGCTGTATCTACCTTTGACTACTGTTCCTAAGGTCTCTGCATTTTCCCAAGTCAACAATTCCTTCAAAACACTGATCTGTTGATCGGAACCTAAGAAAGGGGAGGAGTGAATTTCAGTGATTCATATCTAGATCTTCACTTCTATGATTATAAGTGAGTTGAAGGCAGGAATAATAAATTACTCAACCTAGAATAAGCTACGCTGCCTTAACTATAGCTAAGTAAGTGCTTCATAGACAAAGAACAGACGAAGGGAAGGAGGGAGGGAGGGAGGGAGGGAGGTGGAAGGAAAGGAAAAAGGAAGGGACAGAAAGAAAAATAAATTTGGTCGGAGATGTTCAGGGAGGTGGAGAAGGGGGCAGTACTGAACTTGGCCTGCGTCACAGAAGATGAGTGTCACAGAAGGAAGTCCCCTAGGGGGCCCATCCCCGAGTAGTTGTCGTTGAGGACAGTTTAGGTTTGGGGAATAATATGTAAACTTGTCATTGGTCAAGGCTAGGTCTTTGATTTACTTTTTTAATATATTCTGGATTTAGTTGTTTAATATAGTGGTAGGGTACAGGAGTGGGAGGGGGGTGACATCCTTTAATGGGGAGCCGGTAAAGGAAAAGACAAAGAAGTACCTCCATTTACTGTGTGTGCTCTATCCCATGAGGCTATTGAATGTGTCTGAGTCATTTCCTCTGGTGGTGACAGTTCTCTCCTCTATCCTGAGGAGGAAGTGAACGTTTAATACCTTACATTAGACCACCTTTTGCATATACAAGGATTCATTTCATTCCCAAAGCTCAGAGAATACTTAAATGGTAACGCCAGGTTTTGCGTGGGCATTTTGTCCCCATTCCTGTGACCATTTATTAGGGATAAAAGCTAAGGATACATTGCAGTCGTCATCCCAACTCAAGTCAGGGCAGGGGGCACTGTTTAAATGTATTAAAAAAATTAATTTATCTCGCATCTAACTAAGCACTCTGCTATGCACCTACACTTGCCCCACTTATCTTACACGTGCTAATAATTCCCAGATCAGGAGCTCGAGAATCAGATTTATTTAGCTTGAACTTGATAGACATCTTTCTTCGAGGGTGGAGTTCAGACAAAAATCAATCCCCTTCTACCTACCCATTGGTTTATTAAAGATCTTTAAACAAGACCTAACTACAAGCCCACTTTCATAATCATCATCCCGTGAGATAAAAATTAATAACTGCCGGACCAGAGAGGGTGGAAGTACAGAGGCGAGCAGAGGGGGCGGTCCCATCTTGAACACAGTGCCTTTCCGTTTCGCTGAAGTTCAAACCGCAAGGCCACAGTTCGCTCGGGGCAAGCGGGCACGTGTGTACGCTACGCATGCGCTCAGAGTAGGCCCACCCGCCCCTTCCGCCGGACCGCTCTCGCCCAGTCCCAGCCCGCCCTCCG